ATCTCTACAGTAATGACCCCAATGCCACAAGTGGGGTACCTCAGGGCTCAGTGTTTACTCATTTATGATTTACATCAGTGACACATATAAAGGAATGGTCAATAATTTCTTAAATTAACTGATGAAATTAAAGTCCTTGGTGTTGTTGGTTGTGAGAAGAGTGCTGCTGCTTTACAAAAGGATTTAGATTATTTGGTGAGTTGGGGAAATAAATATCAGATGGCTTTTAATTGTGATAAATGCAAGGTAATACATGTGAGTTATAATTTGAATTGTAAGTATAAATTTGATGGAAATAATCATAACTATGTTATAGAAGAAATAGATCTTGATGTTCTAGTTGATAGTTTCTTCAGCCATCCAAGCAGTTTACTGTTCTTAATAGTAGGGCAAATAGGATTTAGATTGTATCTACAGAAGTACTGAATACAAGTCCAAAGAGATTATAATTTCATTTTATAGGTTACTGTTTAGTCCTCATTTGGAGTATTATGTTCAGTATTGGGCTTCTTATCTTAGGATGGACATTGAATTGTTGAAAGGGTTCAGAGGAGGGTTACTAGGATGATACCTGGGTTGGAAAGGTTGTCTTACAAAGACAGTTTAAGATCTTATAAAGTGTTTTCATTTGTAAAAAGAAAAGCTAGAAGGAATCTGATTGAGATGTTTAAGATTGTTCAGGGACTTGATACTATCAGTACATAACTGTTTTCATAATTAATGGAGATTACAATAGCACTAGGGAACACAAATATACAACTAATACAGTTTTATTTTTTTAATGGGGTGGAACAGGTTGCCTTCAGATGTGGTGAATGCACCAAATTTAAGGGGGTTTAAGTGAATGCTTGATAAATATTTGAATGATATGGGTTTAGGTTTTTCTTTCATTTTGTGGAAGGGACAGCTTAGGTGAACCAATAGGTTCCTTGTTGTCCTTAAATTTTATATTGTAATCACAACAGAAGTCACACAATGCTGGAAGCATGCACGCTGGAATGTCCAAGCATTTGCTAACACCCTCATTTTAGTACATAAGCCAGAGATAGATTAAAGAGAAATAATTGATAATTGAGTCAAGCAAACAGTAGGCACCGTTAGTGAAGTGTGTGAATTATAGCATGTGTTTATAAAAGTAGTTAAGTTTAAAGTGACTGTGGAAATTAAGTGTATTACAAA